TGCCACATCAAACTTAGATGAAATACGTTCGTATGCTTTTCTTAATCTGTCTTTCATTATACAGGCCTCAGTCATAAAACCAGGAGGAATAGAAGGAAAGATATGCTTCCTCCCCATACTTGCCTTTAGCAATAAACCTATTTATTTATTTGTTTATTTATTTTAGAGACAGGGCCTCGCTCTGTTGCCCAGGCTGGAATGCAGTGGTGTGATCACAGCTCACTGCAGCTTTGACTTACCCGGGCCCAGGAGACTCGCCTGCCTCAACCTCCTAAGTAGCTGGGACCACAGGCATGCTAATTTTTTCTACATTTTGTACAGATGGGGTCTCACTATGTTGCCCAGGCTGGTCTCGAACTTCTGAGTATAAGCAATCCTCCCCCTTTTGCCTCCCAAAGTGCTGGAATTACAGGTGTGAGCCCGGCCCAGCAATAATCCTATCAAGTCAGTTTAACCAGAAACCATCTTATCCTTGACATTTCCTCTTAGTAATTTTCCATTTTCCATCTCACTCCCCCACCCTGCTCTCTGGCTATAAATCCCCACTTTGAATACTTGCGTATACAGAAAGGAGCCCAGTTCTATACTGAGGTCATCTTCTCCTATTGCAATTGTTACTAAATGACATTTTCCTTCACTTCTGTCCAGCTCTGGCTTTCTTGGACACTGACACATAGACCAGTACCTGGCATGTAGAAAATACATACTAAGTAAATGACTTGCCCAAAGTGACACAGGTACTTGGTGCTGGAACCCAGGTCTCCTAATTTCCAGCTGTGGGCTTGTTCTACAGTTTTACTTTCATGCCCAGGTATAAGAGAGAGCTTTTCAACAGGGGTCAGCGAACTCTGGCTGAATCTGGTCCCTTGCCTGTTTTTCCTGACCTATGTGCTAAAAATGTTTTTTCAAATGATTTTTAGAAATTAAAAGAAGAAGAAATAACGAGGCATAAAAATGACACAAAATTCAAATTTGCATGGAAACACAAGCAATGCTTGTTCATTTATATTTTTAAGAGAAAGACCTTGGATAAATTAAATGTAACAGAGTTTAATTGAACAAAGAGTAAATCATGAATCAGGCATCCCCCAAGCCAGAACAGGGTCAGAGACAGACTGGTGCTGCCAAGTGTTCAAAGGTTTATGGACAGAAACAGGAAAGTGACAGAAAACGGAAGTGAGATACAGAAACTGCTGGACTGGTTATAGCTCAGTGTTTGCCTTATTTGAATAGAGTTTGAACAGTTGATTGCTTTTTTTTTTTAAGACAGAACCTTGCTCTGTTGCCCAGGCTGGAGTGCAGTGGCGCCATCTCAGCTCACTGCGCCCTCTGCCTCCCCAGTCAAGCAATTCTGCCTTAGCTTCCCGAGTAGCTGGGATTATAGGCGCGTGCCACCACGCTCGGGTAATTTTTGTATTTTTAGTAGAGATGGGGTTTCGCCATATTGGTGAGGCTGGTCTTGAACTCCTGACCTCAGGTGATCCTCCCACCTTGGCTCCCAAAGTCCTGGGATTACAGGCATGAGCCACCATGCCTGGCCAGTTGACTGCTTTTGAGGGGCAGAAATCAGCGATTGGCACAAGAGTAGACTACAGTCTGTTCACACATCAGTTAGGTTACAGTTCACTATGAATGGAGAAACCTTTAGACTGAACTTAAAATATGCAAGGAGGCAGCTTTAGGTTAGACGTAATTTAACAACATACCGTCCACCATTGTCCTGCTACAAACAACAGAGCTGTGTGGCCTGCAAAGCCTAAAATATTTACTACCTGACCTTTTATAGAAAAAGGTTGCTAACCCCCATTTCACAACATTCCCCTGAATCCTTAGTTTAAGCACTAGGATGCTTAGCTTAAGCATTCTGCTCTTAGGAGATGCAATCTGTGCTCAATCAATACCAAACCCTATGATTGACTCTACAATCGAAGCACATCAGCAAACATTTAACATAGACTCTCCCACAATCCCGCAGCGAGATGGGACTCCACTACCTCACTCAATCCTTACACCAATAAACAAAACTATTCGCTATGATTGTAGAGGCCTAATATAAAAGATAATTGGGCAAACCCCGAACACAAGCAGGACCTTGATTCTTTTATCCTCTAACCTGAGTTCAATGCCGAGAATTTAGTGTTATCTTAAAAGTCAGAATGGCTTAAAAGCACAGGCATGAAAAGGCATATAGACTTTCCTTTGCGTTTGTTTCTTTTTGTCCAGTGGTTCCCACCTCCAGCTGCACAATAGAATCACCTGGGAGCTTTTAAAACTCATTAATGCTTGGGCTCCACCTGCCCTCCCAAGTCCTGATTAAACGGGTCTGGGAATTGTTTAAAAGCTTCCCGGGTGAGTCTGTTATGTGGCCATGGTGGACAGCCAACTTGGTCCTCAAACTTAATGTGCACATTAGAATTATTGCACAGGATCACATTCATAAAGCTCTGAGTCCTATACTTCATGAGGGCTCTTTAGGGGATTTGAGATGAAAATTTTATTTATTTATTTTTATTTTTCACACACAGAGTCTCACTCTGTCACCCAGGCTGGATTGCCGAGGCTCAATCATGGCTCACTGCAGCCTGGAACTCCTGGGCTCAGGCAATCCTTCTGCCTCAGCCTCCCAACTAGTAGCTAGGACTACAGGCGCATACCACCATACCCAGCTAATTTTTAAAATTTTTTGTAGAAACAGGGTCTTACCATGTTGTCCAGGCTGTTCTTGAACTCCTGGCCTCAAGTGATCCTCCTGCCTCTGCCTCCCAAACCACTAGGATTATGGGTGTGAGACACCATACCCAGCCATAATTTTAACCTACATTAAATCTTCACCTTAAAATACTATTAGGCCCGGCCGGGCGCGGTGGCTCAAGCCTGTAATCCCAGCACTTTGGGAGGCCGAGACAGGTGGATCACGAGGTCAGGAGATCGAGACCATCCTGGCAAACACGGTGAAACCCCGTCTCTACTAAAAAATACAAAAAACTAGCCGGGCGAGATGGCGGGCGCCTGTAATCCCAGTTACTTGGGAGGCTGAGGCAGGAGAATGGCGTAAACCCGGGAGGCGGAGCTTGCAGTGAGCTGAGATCCGGCCACTGCACTCCAGCCCGGGCGACAGAGCGAGACTCCATCTCAAAAAAAAAAAAAAAAAAAAAAAATACTATTAGGCCCAGGAGGTCAAGGCTGCAGTGAGCTATGTTCACACTACTGCTCTCCAGCCTGGGTAACAAAGCAAGACCTTGTCTCGAAAAAAAAAAAAGAAAAAGAAATGCTATTAGAAAAAGTTAACTGAGAGGCCATTCGTCTGAGACAGCGCCAATGTTGTGGGGTCCTAGGTGAGCAAACTGAAATCAGCTAAGAATAACTCAACTGCAAACCAAAAATGAAATCCTAAGCTCCCAATCTGCTGAACGGATCCCTTCTTGGCCAAGGGGACCCCAGAGAAACCTGAAAAGCTGAATTCCGGCCATAATAGGAAGGAGGTTCAGACATACCTCCTTCTTATACCCCCTCCCTTTTAGGGTTTAGGCACAACTGACCAGCATTAACATTAAAACAAAGATCGTAAGACTAACAAAACAGACTCTTCGTGGCAATCAGATACCAAAGTCCAACTTGACTCTAGTAGAACATCACTCAACAGACAGCAGACCCTGAAGGAAATCAAAATATTTTACTCCCAAACATATTTCTTTTTTTTTTTTTAAATGGAATCTCACTCTGTCACCCAGGCTGGAGTGCAGTGGTATGATCTCTGCTCACTGCAACCTCCACCTCCTGAGTCCAAGCAATTCTCCTGCCTCAGCCTCCTCAGTAGCTGGGATTACAGACACATACCACCACACCCAGCTAATTTTTGTATTTTTAGTGTAGACGGGGTTTTGTCATGTTGGCCAGGCTGGTCTCGAACTCCTGGCCTCAGATAATCTGCCTGCCTCGGCCTCCTAAAGTGCGGAGACTACAGGCATGAGCCACCGCGCTTGGCCTGCAACTTTTCAGCCTCTTTTCTATGAATAAATAAATAGATAAATTTAACTAACATGCTATTTCTTTTTGCACCTGTAGTCCCAGCTACTTGGGGGGATAAGGTATGAGGATCTCTTGAGCCCAGGAGGTGGAGGCTGCAGTGAGCCATGATTGTGCCACTGCACTCCAGCCTGGGTGAAAGAATGAGACCCTGTCTCAATAATAATAATAATAATAATAGGCCAGGCACAGTTGCTCCCACCTGTAATCCCAGCACTTTGGAAGACTGAGGCAGGCAGATCATCTGAGGTCAGGAGTTTGAGACCTGCGTGGCCAACATTGCGAAACCTCATCTCTACTAAAAAAAAATACAAAAATTAGCCAGGCATGGTGGTGCCACCTGTAATCCCAGCTACTTGGGGGGCTGAGGCAGGAGGATTGCTTGAACCCAGGAAGCAGAGGCTGCAGTGAGCCGAGATCGAGCCACTGCACTCCAGCCTGGGCAACAGAGTGAGACTCCATCAAAAATAAAAAATAAAATAATACTAACCATAAATAAAATAATAATAATTTTAAAAAGGAGGATTCACAGCAACCCATGTGAAGGGGCCTAGTTTACCTGAGCTGGCGGACAAGCAAATCTGTTCTGTTTTAATCCTATAAGGAAAGTCACTTTGAAACAACTCATCTGCTTTTTGTTCCCTGTTTCTGTTTTCTTCAGCTCTTTTCTACTGATTCATGAATCGCCGTCTGCTCAAACTCTTCAAAATTGCCTCCGTTTTTCTTTAATGTGCCTTGGTTTATCTTTTAACAGTGCGAACTTCAGAGCCCAAACCCTGACGTAGATGTGGCTCCGCTAAGGTTCGCTCCATTGCGATAACTGTCCAGGTTTCTACAGAGTGTCTTGGAAACCACAGAAGTAGTAGAAGGCCAAGTCCCTTAAGGGCAGAGCCTGGAGTGGGAGTGTGTGCACGACCGTGTATGTGCCGAGGGTGTGGGAGTAGTTAGCTGGCAAAGACAACCAAGATACTCACTGCTGCAGACATCTCCTGCCTGGAAGAGTTCTGTGGTGAGTAGAACTAACCCGTAGTAAGAGAATGCATTGGAAAACCTGCCAGGAGAAAGCAAGAACGGTAAAGAAATGATCAGAGGAATGCAAGTCCCCTTTCCCTACCCCCTTGGGAAGGGCCAACGTCTACAGCAGCAGAAACCAGTCTTTGAGCAGCACTGGGATTTTGGGGACTTCACTGGGGACCTGGAGCAAGAAGATGGCAGGTAAAAAAGCATCATGATATGATCAAAGGGAAGTGATCCTGTGTCCTCTGAAAGGCCAAGAACTGTCAGAGGCGTTTGAACCAGAGCACCTCCATCTTGAATAGGGGTTGGGTAAATGAAGGCTGAGACCTACTGGGCTGCATTCCCAGATGGCTGGGCATTCTAAGTCACAGGATAAGATAGGAGTCAGCCAAGATACGGATCATACAGACCTTGCTGATAAAGCAGGTTGCAGTAAAGCAGCCAGCTGTGAACCCACCAAAACCAAGATGGTGATCGGAGTGACCTCTGGTCGTCCTCACTGCTACACTCCCACCAGCGCCATGACAGTTTACAAATGCCATGGCAACCTCAGGAAGTTACCCTATATGGTCTAAAAAGGGAAGGCATGAATAACCCACCTCTTGTTTAGCATATCATCAAGAAATAACCATAAAAATGGGCAACCAGGAGCCCTGGGGGCTGCTCTGCCTATGGAGTAGTCGTTCTTTTATTCCTTTACTTTCTTAATAAACTTGCTTTCACATTACTCTATGGACTGGTCTTGAATTATTTCTTGCACGAAATACAAAAACCCTCTCTTGGGATCTGAAGTGGGACACCTTTCTGGCAACAGAACTATACTATACCAGAGACACAACACCTCCAAGACTGTCTACCCAACCGGCAATAGGGGGAAAATGGGACCCACCTCTGGAAGAAAACAGTCCCATTACCATCTTTTAGGGCTCTGGGTTAAGTGTGTCAACTTGGACATGTGATTTTTGAATTTCAGAGCAGAATGACACCATTTATTAACTCCTGGCTGACCCAGGAACTAGAATACTCAAGTTTGCAAGACCGGAATATTCTCTTCCAGTAGAATAGTTATAATGAAAACTCAGTCATAATCAGAAGCCAGTGATGCATTTCCTTAGGTTACAATGTGTGCAAGCAAATTTAGTGACTTTCATAATGCACTAAAATTAGTCTCTAATTAATTGCTTCAGTATTCAAGGAGCGTTGGCCCAACCAAATTACATGTGCTCAAAGGTGGGTATTCTCAGCTCTGACCCCCACCATCCTTTAAAAAAATTCTGCAGGCTCGCTGAGTTGATTGGGCTCTCAGGAATTCGGGGCAGAGCTAGAGGCTGTTCTGTATATTATCAAAGCTTTTTTCTCCTCTTCCCTGTAATTGACCACCTCGAGGACACTTCCCCGTTAATTAGCACCTTTGCTAAATGGTGAACGGAAAAATGAGAACTGGTTAAAAAAGAACATTAAAGCCTTAGGCCAAGTTTGTTCACTGTTAATGCTGTGTACATGAATTGGTGCAAAGAGACTTGAAAGATGACTGCAGCTCCAATTCACTGTGGAGTTTAAGGTGATTACACTCTCCAAATACTACCCCCAACCCACACCTTCCGGTTCCAGCGCCCTTCCACGGGTGTTATTTAAGAAAAGGTCCAACAGGACCTTAAAAGAATGCCCTTGTTGACCAAATCAGTGGTTCCCAAAATATGTGCCACATGCCACCCCTGCGGTACCCAAGGGGCAATATGGGCTACAGTGAAGACACTGACATAGTATAAATACACACACACACACACACAAAGACACACACACACATATACACACATACACACACACAAACACAGACACACAAGACACACACACATACATACACACATACACACACGCACACATACACACAAACACACACAGACACACACACAGACACACACATACACATACATACACGCACACACACAGACACATACACACAAACACACACAGACACATACATATACACACACACGCACACATACACACACATACACACACGCACACAGACACATACACACACGCACACACACAGACACACACTACAAACACACACAGACACACAAACACAAGCAGACACACACGCAGACACACACACAGACACACAGACACAGACACACACAGACACACAGACACCCACAGACACACACACGCACACACACGCACACAAACACACACACAGACACACACATGCACACATACACACATACACACACACATGCACATACACACATGTACACAGACACACACGCGCACACACACACAAACACACACAGACACGCACACACATACACACACACACGTATTTTTGAGACAGAGTCTCGCTCTGTTGCCCAGGCTGGAGTGCAGTGGTGCAATGTCGGCTCACTGCAGCTTCTCTCAGGTTCAAGTGGTTCTCATCCCTCAGCCTCCCAAGTAGCTGGGACTACGGTGCCCACCACCACGCCTGGCTAATTTTTGTATTTTAGTAGAGATAGGGTTATGCCATGTTGGTCAGGCTGGTCTCGAACTCCTGACCTCAGGTGATCCACCTGCCTCAGCCTCCCACAGTGCTGGGATTACAGGCATGAGCCACCACACCGGCCCACATAGCAGAAATACTCAATCGTATTGTGAAAGAAAAATTCCCTTTTAAGTTTACTTTCAATTCTTTCAATCATTTTAAATTATATCCCAGTCTCACTTACATGCTAATGAGTCCTTAACACCTCCCCTTTCCCGTCTCTTTTTTGTTTTTGTTTTGAGACAGGATCTCAGTCTCTTGCCTAGGCTGGAGTATAGTGGCATGATCACAGCTCATTGCAGCCTCGACCTCCTGGGGTAAAGTGATCCTCCCACCGCAGCCTCCTGAGTAGCTGGGACCACAGGTGCATACCTCCACACCCAGCTAACTTAAACATTTTTTGTAGAGACAGGGTTTTACCACGTTGCCCAAGCTGGTCTCAAACTCCTGGCCTCAAGAGATCTTCCCACCTCAGCCTTACCAAAGTGTTGGGATTACGGGCATGAGCCACCGTGCCCAGCCAGCCGTTTTATCTCTTAAATACAGAGGCTCATTGCCTCTGCAAACCATCGGTCTAGTTACTTTTTCTGGTATTTCTCTTTAAGAGTGCCTTCTATCTGTGACTTGCAATTAAGGTGTTTTCTTTTAAAGTAGAGTTATAGCCTTGTTCAGTGGCTTACACCTGTAATCCCAGAATTTGGGGAGGCTGAGGAGGGAGGATTGCTTCAGTTCAGGAGTTCAAGGCTGCAGTAAGCTAGGATTGCGCCACTGCACACCAGCCTGAGCATTGGAGTGAGGAGACTCTGTCTCAAAAATAAAAAATACAATAAAATCGAGTTATAAAGTTTCTTTTTAAAAGATACTTGACTAAAAGCATCAAGTTAAAGAAAAAGATTAAGGAAATAATAGTATGTACAGACGATAACCCGGATACGACGGGAATCAGGAGGATGATGTTCAAACTACTGAAATTTGCAAATGTTGCCTGAAATCAAAGTGCTCTCTGTCCATTGCATTAAAACAAAACCCAAAACAGGGCACAGGGAGCGAAAAGGGGTCAAAGTGGTCAACAAACAGCTCTTACCATATAAACCACAGCAACAAAGTTGTCCATCTAAAATGGGGCGTGAAAAGGTCCCTCATTTTGCCTCGGTCTTCCTGTTTCAAAACAAGGACATAGTGTTTATTCTCTCCCCTACAGGTGCATGAGAGATGGGCTGGTGGCCTGAGACTAGTGCACACCCAGGCTGGGAGGGAGGTTTCTGGTAAGTAGGACACTGGAGCTCTGATAACCCAGGTCTCAAATCTACAGGATGCAGCCTCCCAGCCCCTCCAGCCAGAACCCAACCGTGTCCAGGGGCATGATCCACACAGGACGGACCTCATGCCCTCCAACCTGGAAACCGGGACTTGGGAAGCAGATCCCTCCTTCCTGGCCCCTCAGACCTCAGCACAGACCCATGAACCCAGGGAGCAGAAAACCAGTCCAAAGCATGTCCAGCCCTTTCACACACACACATGCGCCTTCCCCAGTTCTAGGTCTAGGTGGCAACAGTTAATGTGCTGAGAAACGAATTCACCAAAGGCCAATTTACCAAAAGATTGATTAGCTAAATGACCGATTGGCCGATTTTACATAATTTACAAATTCATCAAATCTTTGCTTTATAGTGTTCTTTAAAAAATATATGCTATGGCCAGGTATGGTGGTTCGTGCCCATAATCCCAGCACTTTGGGAGGCCAGGGCAGGTTGATCATATGACACCAGGGGTTCGAGACCAGCCTGGCTTTCTCTCATCCATGGAAGGAATCTCTCCCCAAAGGCAACCAAATGCGCTTCTGCACCTCTTGAGGAATCCCTCCTGCTCCGCCCCCTGTAGATATGGGGCAGGTCCCCTGGCCTCTATGTTGTCAGACCAAACACCTCCTTCCAACCTGGTGAAAGGCCATTCAGTTCTTCTTGCATAATATAAAAAGAATCAGAAATATAAATTTATTTTAAAAGGCAATTTCTTTATAGGATCTGATGTCTGCTTAAGGTATTTGTCATGTTTCTCCAATCTGCTTGGATGGTTCTTGAAGGCAAGGACTGCAGCCTTAAATCCGAATCTTTTCTCCCCGTGTGTGCAATGCTGGTGCCTACATACAATAGGCGCTCGTGAAGTTTCACCGTGGTGGATTCCCTGATGGTGTTACCGGTGGAGTGAGGCACCATCCATTAAGAACATCTACACAGGGTGCAGTTTGATCCCCTAGATCTAAGCACACTCCTTCCTAACGTGGTTTTATTGCACAGCTTTTGCCAGTCAATCTCATTTGCTAGTCAGACTTCATCTGTGCTGAAAGGCGAAACCAAAGCAGCAGTAGTTACAGGATCCATTAGCAGATGTTACATTTCTCTAATCACTGGTGAAATTCTCCAGGAAGCATTTTTAGAACTTGGCAGTGAAAATACAGATTGGAGTTGCCAAATTACCCTTGTGGGTCTGTCTACTGGGCCCTCATCTGCTCCATGTGCATGCACACACCCCACCTTGGGTACACACACCCACGTGTGTCCATGCATGCATGCCCTACTCCATATGCACACACTCCCCTGAATGCACCCCGACACGCACATTGCAGTCTATTGGTCCAGGCACTGACCTGTCTGGAGATGATGAGTTTCCCCAGCGGCATGGGAGCTCCATTTTCTGTCGCTATCCTCTTTAAGGTGGCGATTGCCTTTTCCTGGTTCCCTGACAGTACATCATACCTTGCACTTTCCGGCAGCCACTGGGATGGGGGAGACAGGAGACCCACGTGTGGCTGATTAGGGTGGAACAGAGCACTCACTTCTAGCCACACACTCTTACTTGTGTGTGGGATCTTTAAGGGTGGGGGCTCTGAAGCCAGAGACCTGACTTCAAATCCTGGCCCTGCCATTTATTACGTTGGTTGTGTGACCCTGTACAATTACTTGACTTCTCTGTGCTTTCATTTCCTCCTCCATTAAATGTGAATGATAAGAGATCCTACCTCTTAGGGCTCTTGAGAGGATTAAACAGGATAATCCAGGCAAGGGGCCTAGCGCAGTGCCTGGTATAGGTTAATGCAGCTATTATTATTGTCACGGTTGCTATTACTATTATTTGGGGCTGCTTTCAGAGTTCCAGGCGAGGGCTGAATTAAATTAAGATCACTGTCAGAAATCTCACCCCCATCTCTCAAGGAATTGTACCTCACCTGTATTCAGCATCATCTTGCAAACTCAGTTCAAGAGAAAGAAAGAAATCAGAAAGATTTTTAGAACAATGGAAGTCCCAACCCCAAATGACTAGATACATACATTTCTGTAAAAATGGAGCGACAGCTGTTTGAAACAGCAGGTATACTGGAGAAAAGACTAAGAGTTAGAAGATCTAGTTTAGAGTTTTTTTGTCTATTTGCTGTAGGCCCTTTAACAAGTCAGCCCCTCTGGGCTTCAGTTTTCTCATCAATAAAAAGAGGATATAGCAGAGAATGCAAATGCCCACCAACATTCTGTTTCCTTTTTCATAGTGCAAAGTTGTCCTTAGATGTGGCTGCCCAGACAGGGACTACATTTCCCAGCTCCCCTTGCATCTAGGTGGGACCATGTGACTTGCATTCACCAATGGCATATGAGCTGACTATTCCCAGCCAAGGTATTCAAGAAGTGACTGTGCAGTCTCCACTTGCCTTTTGCAAGTCTATTGAGTGTATGTAGAAGACTTCAAAGCCCTAGAGGATAGCAGAGCCACCAGCTGGACAAAAACTGGGCCCAGAATTCCACTTGCCAACCAGAAAAGTCATTCTGAACTATTGTGTTAGAGAGAGAGAAGCTCCTATCGTGCTATGTTACTGAAATTGTGGGCTTCATTTGTTTCAGCAGCTGGTATCATCCTGACTAATACAGGGATTCATTATAGTCCTGTGATTATTGGGAGGAATAAATGTGATATTGCATGGAGCACAAAGCCTGCCACACAGTTAAGCTTAATAATTATTAATACTTATTGTCATTACCAGAAATTTTTGTAGTAGTTACCATACATGAGAACTACCCATCTCTAGGCTTATTTTAGTACCTACTGGCTGTAAAGTGTTTCATGCATGTGCCCATGAAATGATGAGTATGTGGCAAGATCTCAGCAGAGGGTGTGGTTTATGCAGAGCTGAGATGAAGAGATCATTTAAACTCCCGGAGCAGCCACGCCTGAAGTCCGATTTAATCCTCTGAAATGTATTTATTCCTCTCTTTTACTCAAGCTAGTTTGAATTGGGTTTCTGTCGCTTGCAACTTAAGAGTCTCAATTAGTGCAATATAATCACTTTAAGTGTAGATTTTGCAATGATGGGGCCAATGTATCCTCCAATCCCCAGTTATCTCCCCAGAAAACATCTCAGAAGTGTCTGTCTGGAGGAAATCTAACACTCCATACTGGGGCTACCCCAGGCCATAGCTCCCTTGTCTCATTTTCTGATTTAAAAAAATAATCTTAAAAGGTGGCTTTGGTATCCTTCTCCATCCCCTCCCCACCAAAATAGAGTGGACTGTAAGGTGTCAGGTAGCAAAAGCTGAAATCTCTTAAAGGATACCTACGAAACACAGCACGGCAAAGAGGAGGAGCGGGACAGCCGAGAGGATGAGCAGCCAACGCCAGCCCAGGCTGGGCATCACGAACACAGCCAGGACGACCTCGAACACTGTCCCAATGGCCCAGAAAACCTGGCACGGGAGAATCAGGGTTAGTGGTGGGGGAAGCATGGTCCTCACAGTGAGGAATTATGGGGGCACTGTGGACAAGGGTATCTCTATGGGTAAGGGGTTATTGGAGTCAGCAAGGTTAGAATAGTCACCCTTTCCCTGTGGTCTGTATGGTTGAGCCAGGGCTGCCATGTTGCCCAGCTTACGAGGGTACCATCTACACTGTATAATATTTGCATGTCACCCGCTGGAGCTGGGCAATGTGGCAGCTCTGGTTAAGGAGATCAATATGACCAATATTACGTGATATCAAATTGGTAGTGAACACATTGGTGTTCTCTCTCTCTCTCTCTCTCTCTCTCTGTCTTGCTCTGTCGCTCAGGCTGGAGTACAGTGTCCCAATCATGGCTCACTGTAGCCTCAACCTCCCAGGCTCAAGATCAGCTGGTCTAGATGTGTTTCTTTTTCTTCCACTCCTCCTCCTCCTCCTCCTCTTCTCCTCCTCCTCCTCCTTCTCCTCCTACTCCTTCTCCTCCTCCTCCTCCTCCTCCTACTTCTTCTCTCTTCCTCTTCCTCTTCTTTTTTTTTTTTTTTTTGGCAGAGTCTTGCTCTGTTGCCTAGGCTGGAGTGCAATGGCACGATCTCAGCTCACTGCAACCTCCGCCTCCTGGGTTCAAGCAATTATCCTGCCTCAGCCTCCTGACTAGCTGGTATTACAGTCCACCACCACACCTGACTAATTTTTTGTATTTTTTAGTAGAGATGGGGTTTCACAATGTTGGCCAGGCTGGTTGCAAACCCCTGATCTCAGGTGATCCAAATGCCTTGACCTCCCAAAGTACTGGGATTATGGGCATGAGCCACCGTGCCTGGCCTTTTTTTTTTATTATTTATTTTTATTATTATTATTATTTTTTAAATAGATGGGGTCTTGCTCTACCACTCAGGCTGGAGTGCAGTGATGTGATCACACCTCACTACAGCCTCAAACTCCTGGCCTCAAGTGATCCTCCTGCCTCGGCCTCCCAAAGTCCCAGATGCATTTCAATATTTAAACAACGGATTCTTCCACATCAGTGTGGATCAGTGGAGCATCACCCTAATTGGTAAGAAGCAGATGTAGTCAGGATGTTGGGCTGTGGGATCAATGCAATTAAAATTGTCAGTGTGGTTATAGTGATTGGGGACATCAGAGTGGGTTCATTGGCATCACTGTTGGAATCAATGTCCAGCATGGGCAAATAAACCATTCTGCCACTGTGTGGAGGGGGCCACTGGGCAGCTGCATGAGGCAGGGAGTCATGGAGCCATTGTATTTTCTCTGAGATCTTTCAGATCATGGTTAGAAAATGGGTCACGGGACCCTGGAAGAAAAACTTGAGAGGAACTAGCTGGACCACGAAAGTTTTAAGGCAGTCTATAGGCCACAGAAATGGTCAAGAATGGAAATTCTTGACCAAAAAGACAAGTGGTGGGTGACGATATGGGTGTGGGCCGGAGTTTGGTCTACTAATGCCACACATTAGCCATACCAGCTCTCAGATACAAGCTATTTACAGTTCAAGAAAACATATTCTTCCATACCCTTGCTGACATTTTTTTTTTTGAGGGATGATAGATTGAATGTTCTTGTCAATTGAAGAATTTGTCCATATTGCAAAACTGGCATGTCAGAAATGATGTAACTGATCCTTTTACAACTTTACATATTGAGTCTGTAATATTTTTTTCTTAAACTCCCTTTTCCTTGGCCTGTGGCTCAAGACATCTGAGAACCTCCTGCCGGAATCCACACGCTCTAGAGACCCAGGCTGCTCTCCTCCTTACCTCAATCAGCAAAATACATTTAGCTCTGGCTTTCATGGGAAGGAACTCAGCATACAGCGTCACCCTGGAAATGTAAAAGGGACAGAAAAAGAGTTAAGATCAGAACTGGGTGGGCAAATGGCTACCGTTTTCTGAATTTCCTGCCAACATTCCTCCAAGGGTGGTCAGTGAACCACTTACATCAGAATTTCCTGAGATGATGATGGTTAAATATACAGATCTCTAGCTCCCTCCCTCCCCAGACCTTCAGAAACAAACTCCCAGGGATAAGGCCCTGACATCTGCATTTTTATTTTATTGTATTTATTTATTTATTTATGAGTTGGTGTCTCACTCTGTCACCCTGGCTGAAGTGCAATCATAGCTCACTGCACAACCTTGAACTCCTGGGCTTAAGTGATCCTCCTGCCTCAGCCTCCAGAGCAGCTAAGACTACAGCCATGCACCACTACTCCTGGCTAATTATTATTATGATGATTTGTACAGATGTATGTTACCCAGGCTGGTCTCGAACTCCTGGCCTCAAGTGATCCTCCCATCTCGGACTCCAAAAGCGCTAGGAATATAGATGTGAGGCACCATGCCCGGCCTCACCTGCATTTTTGACTCACCAAGTGATTCTCAAATTTCCTAACTGCTGTCATTGAGCCCTACCCATAATCCAATAAGTCCAGGGAAAAATGTTTTTTGGCAGGAACTCTTCAACTTGAGCCCTTCTCAGCATACCAGGGCACACAATGTCAACCTGTCCCATCACTGGTGACATTAGTCTTCATCACCTGATCAAGCTGGTGATGGAGATTACCAGCTTGGTAATCTGGTCTGACAGATTTCTCAACCCTAAGTTATAATTTCCCATTTGTGATTAAGAATATTTCCCCTTTGTGGGGAAGTATTCAGAATATGCCAATATCCTGTTCCCCACATAACCTCTACTCACCAGCTTTAGCCATTGACTATCTCTATCTATGTCATCTACAACTGTGATGGTAACAAATGGTTGTTTTTGTTTGTTTGTTTTGTTTTTTGAGACAGGGTGCATGGTGTGATCATGGCTCACTGCAGCTTCAACCTTCCAGGCTCAAGCCATCCTCTTACCAGCCTCCAAGACTACAGGTGCTGGGACTATAAACACATGCCACCACGCCCTGGTAATTTTTATTTTTTTTTATTATTGTGGAGATAAGGTCGCACTATGTTGTTCATGCTGGTCTCAAACTCCTGGGCTCAAGCTATCTTCCTGCCTTAACTTCCCAAAGCGCTAGGATTACAGGCATGAGCCACTGCGCCCAGCCCCACAAATGGTATTTTTTATTTTTGTCATTCCTTCTGTATTTATTAGTTGACATTTAACTGTAAGAAAGAGATTTTCCTTCTTTCCTTTATCTTATCTGTCTATCCATTTAATCGGTATGGACTTGTGGAGTCCTATTTATGCAGTGGGTTGTAGCCCGTTACTATTTTGATGCTCAGAAAAGCTTTTCCTCCTCCCCTTTATCTATCTTATCTATCTATCTAGTATCTATCTATCTATCTATCCATTTAATCAATAAGGACTGGAAGATTCCAATTTTATTCCATGAGTTGCAGCCTATTATTATTATTATTAGTAGTAGTAGTAGTAGTAGTAGTAGTAGTAGTATTTTGAGACAGGGTCTTACTCTGTTGCTCAGGCTGAAGTGCAGTGGCACACAATCTTGGCTCACTGAAACCTCCACCTCCTGGGTTCAAGCAATTCTCCCACCTCAGCCTCCTGAGTAGCTGAGATTACAGGTGCCCGCCACCATGCCTGGCTAATTTTTGTATCTTTTGGTAGAGATAGGGTTTCACCATGTTTCCCAGGCTGGTCTCAAATTCCTGACCTCAAGTGATCTGCCCGCCTCAGCCTCCTAAAGTGCTGGAATTACAGGTGTGAGCCACCACACCCGGCCTGCAACCTGTTATTATTTTGATGCTCAGACTGTTCCAGATCTGCCCAGTGGGAGCCCCTTCAAGCTCATTCTTATTGTTTTTTTGGCATGTCTCCATCATTCCTTGAGGTCTTCCCTATTTTCTAGCACAAGATATCCAGCTCATCTTGTACTTCCTCTACTCCAGCCCTGGAGTCTGTCATCACCTTTCTAAGAAGCCCTGGTTCCCTTTGGCAGAAGATGGTATTTAGAAACCAAGACCTCTGTGCTCAGTGTGCTCATTGCTCCTGGGGTATCACTGCTGCTGCGCCCTCTTGGCGGACACAGCTAAGAGATTATCTGTCTCTCTATCTATCTCTATCTTACTTATCTCCTTGTCTCTTCACACACTCACCATATCTATAACTATCTGTGTATATTTATTTAAAAACGAGTTCATACTGATACTTTCCATTTCAGTTCATCACCTTGGGGTTCATTCTAACCTTCCTCACTTGCATGCTGCAATTTCCTTCTCTAAGAATGGGAAATCTGGTCTCATTATCCTCAATACAGTTACATCTTTGCTCAATTTACTTGTTTCCTTAATGTAAGCAATGTCCCAACTGCACTGGCTGCCTCCTCTGTCTGCTGCTTCCATGCTTTCCTCCTTTTCACTTCCTCAACCTTTGGGCATGCTGGACATGGAAGGGAACTTTTAAATCAATCCCTGCTCCCACCTACCCCATGCTGCCTTCAATTTTGCTAGAAAGATGAGGCCTTCTTTCTTCTCATATCTCCCACCTAAGCCAGGCATCTGAGCTACTAAATGGCCTCATGTTATTCTCCTAGCTCTTCTTAAGGGGTGGGGGGTTGGGGGACAAAGGGAAGTTAATTTCCTTTAACTCTTTGAAGGCAGATGGTGCTGGGGACCCATTTAGATCTCCTAGGATCCCTTTACTAGGTCTGCGTGCCCACCTTGCGCTTCTGCTAATGGCTCATACCTGCAACCTTCTCTTATGGATACTCTTGAGCAACTGAAGCTGCATCACCCCAGAGGTACCTAGGAGTCATGCCCATCTCCCCAGGGCAGGCTGCAGACTGGCATGTATGTGTATAAAAGGCCCACCCCCTGGTATTGGGGGAGGGGGTGGGGGTCAGACCCTGTGGAGCAATGAACACTCCTTAGCTCCCTGTGTGCTCAGGTAAGTCCAGAAGAAACCACGTCCTTGTGAACTTCTTCCCTGTATCTTTCTCTTAGCATCTTTCACTCTTGTAGCTTCCTCCCAAGAACACTCTCAATAAATCACTTATAGAGAAATCTCTGCCCCCAGTTCTGTCTACTTCTATGCAGCCCAATCAATGGGTTTCCCTACAGAGCATTTCACTTTTCAAAAGGTGGCCTCAGCAATACCACTGATATTTAGACACAGTTCTTTCTATCATCAGTAAAAGTCCTTGTTAGGATTCCGAGCAAAGGCACCTCTATCTAAAGCAAGAAGAATTCTCAGGAGCCTCAGAAGAAGGGCTAGGGCTTCAGTAGTTCAGTGGGACTCTCTTTAGAGAAAAGCAAGAAGAAAATGTTAATGCTAGCTAGTCTCACTTCATAGTGTATTTTAGTACGTTCCCTCTTTCTGTCTTAGTCTTTCTTTTTCTCTCTGTATGAATCCCTAGCTGAGATCATACTCAAGAATGCCTATTATAAATCTGATTTATAAACAAGCATTTCCATGCCATTTAATAGGCTCTTGCACACATCTATTCTATCACATGCATGAACCATACTATCCTTAATAATAGCAATCTTTTACTGAGTATCTACTATGTGTTTAACACTACTCTAGATGTTCTGCATGGATTACCTCACCCAATAAGAATTGCAAGTCATGGGGATAAGTAATTACAATTCCCTGTGTGTGTGTGTGTGTGTGTGTGAGAGAGAGAGAGAGAGAGAGAGAGAGAGAGAGAGAGAGAGAGAGATGGTTTGGCTCTTGGCCCCACTCAAACCTCATGTTGAAATGTAACTCGCAGTGTTGGGGGAGGGACCTGGTAGGAGGTAACTGGCTCATGGGGGTGGTTTTCCCCCTCGCAGTTCTCATGATAGTGAGTGAGTTTTCATGAGATCCAGTTGTTTAAAAGTGTGTAGCACTTCCCTCTTCACTCTCTCTCTCCTGCTGCCATGTGAAGATATGCTTGCTCCATCTTTGCCTTCCACCATGCTTGTAAGTTTCCTGATTCCTCCCCAGTCATACCTCCTGTACAGCCTGTGGAACTGTGAGTCAATTAAACCTCTTTTCTTTAAAAAGTACCCAGTCTTAGATAGTTATTTACAGCACTGTGAGAATGGACTACCACCATTTTCATATCTACATCTATCAACAACAGAAAAGTTGTTACTTGGCCAGGATTGCACAGCTAGTAAGTTAGTAAGCAGAAGAGCCAACATTTTAAACTAGGTTTGTCTATATCATGCAACCCATGAATCACTTCCCTGTTGGGATGGTTTCACAGTTACAAACAACACTTCCTTAGACATCTTTAGGCTGAAAGTCGTTGTCTTCACATTGTTTCCTTAGGACAGATCCCCCTAAGTAGAATTTGAGTCGGAGGGTATGCCTGTTTTTATGATTTGAGATATATACTACCAAAGTGCTTCTCCAAAAAGTTGTTCCAATTTATATTCCTTCCAGTACCTCACTCATCAGAAAACCATGGGGAATTTCATTAACTAAACCCTGATAATAGAAACCAAGATTATAGTGGTTGCTAAAGATTGCAGCAATTATCACGGATGACTTTGATATTTTATTCTATTTTCCGAATGGTATGCTTATATTATTTTTAAAAATCAATAGTAATACCATGTTTACCTTTCCCTCACCAAATTGAAGTCAAACTACTAATCATGCAAAAATGTGCAGTAGGCTATTCTAAGGGCAAAGCTGTTTCTATCCTTAGAGATCAAGGATTTGTTTTTATAATAAAGCTGTAACCTATTTAATGAAGTCGTTTCATTCTGTTTTTTTCAGTGATAGAGTATTATATGAATGCAATCTCATTGTAAAATAATTTACCAATACATAAGCATGCAGAGTGTATGATGATTTTTCCTATCCCTATGACCCCAACTTCCATTTCCCTTCCTGAAAGCCATAACTACTATTCAGAGTTTGCC